GTAGTGCAAGGAAAAGCGGCCACGAATAGTTTCGGGCCGTTGGCTTCTTTTTGTCATTTTCATTTTTTCTGAATATGTATATTTTTCTTCGCGTTAGAAGGCGAGCTGTTGTTGTTGGGCTTTTTTGGGTGGGAAAATTCGAGTCATGTGTGGCAGACATGCATAATTCAAAACGTGGCTGGGAAACTGTTTGTCCTGCCCCGTGTGCTGGCCTGTGTGTGTGTGTGTGTGTTGCCACTTTTTATGTCGGTAACTCGACTGTGGGGACACATACATATACATACTCGTACATAAATGTACGTTCTGTGTGGGCTAACGCAATTTTCGTATTCAGGAAAAAAGCGAACAAAATGTCACCGCCTTCGCCTTCTGTTTGACATATTTTTCACACAACGTCTGCTTGTTAAATTGTTGGCGGCAATTTTGAGGTTAGCGTGACAAACAAACACTGCCACATAAACACACTTACCACCACATATGCAGCTGCAAGGACATGCCAGTGCAACCAAATTGATGTTTGTTAAGTTCTATGGGAGTTATGCTTAAATTTGGTTTTTGAGTTTTCTTTGGCCTGACAAGAAGAGAGGTTTATCCTCTCACTGGCGTTCAAACTAATTAACTTACGAGGTAATTTACTTCCTTTTTAAATCTATAGTTTTGGAAGTGCTAAATAATGATCCTGTGAAAATTGAAACTAAACCAGCAATCCAGCACATTTCCGTGTTGATCTCACACCATTTTTAATAGACTTCCACCGACATCTGACAGGGTTAGTAAATATGCAAAGTTGGTTTTTATCTTGGCACATTTCTCTGCAACGTTTTCCATATACCGGCACGCGAATGAAAGAAAAATGGTTGGGGGCACAGGACGTAGAGAAAGTTGGGTAAAGCTGGGAAAGTGGGAAAGTAAGAGACAGACCGAGAGAAAAAGCAGGGCGGGATTGGGAATCGCTTGCATGTTTAGCACTTGACGGCTTAATGGCGAACAATTTGGGTTAAGACAAGAGGCAACGCCCCTCACTGGACTCGACTGTTCGAAAGGACTGGCCCGGATTAAAGGATGTAGTTGGCCATGTCAGAAGAAAGAGAGCTTAAATAGGGACATTTCAATTATGGCAAGAGGCCTTTAAGAGAGTGCGAGTCTCACCAAATGTCGACTTACTCTAAGCATTTAAATTCATTCGAGTAATCAATTTCGGCAGCAGAATGCACTTTCCGAAAGATGAAAATCTCATTTCCCGGAAAATTGTTTTAACTGCAATTGTAATTCGAGACATAAATAATTCGCCCCGAGCATTCGGGCCAAGCGGTTGAAGCGACGACATGAGGGAAAGTACGGAAGAGGATTCGAATGAAACAAGGACTCAAAACCACCCATTGGACCAATAGCCAGTGGCCAAAACAGGACAAACAACAGTGGTAGTGGCGTGATCGGGGGAAGAGAGGTGGACGGGCGAAAGGATTGAGCCCTGAGCTTAACAAACATGCAGCTGCCAAGAATTTATTGGCTGGACAATGACAACGACAAGGACCGAGCAGGACAATTATCATTGTAAACATTTTGCCATGACTTCAGCAAAATGAGGAATGGACAACTGAAGGGGCCGAAATGGCTTAAACCTGCCACTCTACCAGCTTTTTTTCCAGCTTCCCCATATGTGTGCCTTGCCAAAAGTTTACTTATATTTGTCTGTCCAACTCTCAAGGACTTCTGTTGTTTGGAATTTGAAACTTTCAGGCAGCTACAACGTTTTTTAAATTTAAAATTTCAAGAGAAGTCATGGAAAGAATTTAATTATTATGGAATTATTATTAAGGTTTTGAATCATTGAGATCTTTAAGTAGCTTTTTATGCGTTACAAACTCGGAATTGTTATCTTTAACCAAAGGTTTAATTTGGAGTCTCACTCGATAATGGCTAAAAACCAATAAAATTTGTTAGTCTCTTTATTTTTCCTATCATGAGTTTCAATCATAGATTGCCATTTTATAAATCTCTCAATTTTCCGATATCCTTCAGCTGAAGCCATTAGTGCCTCTCACTTTTCCGACTGCCGCGAGCAAAGTTTTCCTGGCCAACAACAGTTTCGGCAACAGTTCGCAGCGGTAAGGGAAAAAGGGCGGAAAATGCTGCGAGTTCTTCAGTTGCAAAAGTGCATTAGACACAAAGTAATCGATACTCAATGGAGGACCAACTCTGCCGAAATGCTTTAAGCCTTCAATCTGTAGATGTGTTTGAGTTATCGCCCCGCTATTTCGGGATCTTACGGGTAGGTGTGTGTGGGCGGGGATTTTGGGAAATTTGTTTAGCCAACGTTAAGTTTACATTTATAGGACTTATCAGTTTCCCTAAATTGAAATGTTTGCACTCCGCTGAATCTGCACGAGGTTCCTTCCGGTTTTGTTTACTCTCACCATGCGTGTGTGTGTGTGAGTATCTATGTGCTTATCGAATTTACTTACTTATTTAGGTAGCTATGTTAATGGCATATTAGAAGGCAGCCACGAGGGTGGGCACTTCGGGATACCCATCATCATCCCGTGGGCGTATGTCTCTCTAGCCGTTTTAATGCCAGGTTAGGTAAACACTTGCGAAATGAATTAACTTTAAGCCGCAAAATTTGTGCTCTTGCGTGTGTTTGTGTGTGTGCTTGTACGCCTGTGTGGGTGTGCATACATAAATGCTCGTAATTGTTTATTTACATAACTTGACATAAGATTAAAGACGCTTTTGATTAACGATGCGAGAGACAGCAGGGACTTAAAATTAAATTGCAAACATTAAATTGTTGACAGGCAGCGATGGAAGCCTTCAAAGGTGTCGTCACAAGCTTATGTGGTATATGTTTATGTATTTGCATTATATTTGCAATTGGGAAATTATTTCTTATTTAAGCTATCAAATAGGAAATCTTGAAGCTAAGTTTATAAAATGTCAGAAAGCGTCTTGACCCTTTTATGGCGTACTTTTTCTTGAAGGTATGAAGTAACTGGTGCCGTGGGTCGATAGCGATACCGATAATTTGAGTTTAGTATATTTTGTATCTCAGTTTGGTGTTGTGCCCTGATGGAGTATGGTCACTCTCGGAACTTATAAGATGTTGATCGTGGTGAGTTTTTGTCGTGCGGTGTGTAAGGTTATGCTGCAGTAAGAGTCTTGTAAATTAAGCTTGTTGAGTGTTATTTTATGTTTACGTGACTCTGGGGCAGTGTTGTCAATTACGCTTCCGCGTTTATTGTAGGCAACTTCCACACCAGGGACGACAATAGGTATTTACATCAAGGCAGAGCATTTACTAACATAAATAGATAGAGGTTTGCAGATGTACACTGAGAGAAAGAAAAACATTGTTTCTTACTAAGCAATTCATCCCTCATTTTACTGACTCGCCAAAGAGTTTCCAGGGAAATAAACTCCAAAGAGCAATACAGAAGTTATGAGGAATGAATTCCAGTGAAAGTGTTCGAGGATGATCAAGGGAAGAACGAAAACAACATACATATATTGCAGTTGGCGACAGAAAAAAGGTGGAAAGCGAAAGACGAAAACTGAATATTACAGTACAGTTCAAAAAAGAATCGCGGATTACCGTTGGATTTAGAAATAGAAGTGAAGAATGAGAAGTGTACGAATAATTTTTGTGCGTGAAAAAATGACTTTTTTGTGTTATTAAGGAAATTATGTAGTATTAAAGTTAAAACTTGTTAATTTTATGTTTAAAATATATTCTCGAAATGTGTATCTTTCATTTGAGATATTACATTTTAATTTCCGTTATGTATTTCTCGAGATATTAAGGAATAAACTTCCAACTCACTGTATATATATAAATAAATAAATAAATAAACAAATTATAAGTCTTAAATATCAGTTAAAGTAAACTATTCTTAAAAAGCTTACTTAAGGAAGCAGTTTGAAAGGTGAGAAAGCGGACAAATTTGTATTTAGTTTAACAAATAGTAAACAGGCCAACCTAGCGTTCAAGAAAGCAAAGTTAGAACTAGACTGACATACCTAGAAAAATAAGCTAATTTAAATAATTGGCTTTTACATTATGTAGATACCGTACATACACCATGACAGCTTTTTAGGAACATTTTCTTTTCCCCGATTTCAATTAGTGTCAACTGCGCAGAAATAACGAAATTTGCTGCTTCATCCATATTCATCCGGCCTTAAGCATTTATGTGCGGATTTGCGCGAAAAAATGCCAAAAAGTTAAGCGAGTGGGCGGGGAGTTAAGGAAAAGCCGCCCTAAGCCATAATTTAATATATTGACACAAAGCTTTGTCGTAAGACGTGTCTTGGCACCATCATAATCCCCAATATTGTATATTGACAGCTGTCAAAGGAGCCACTTCTCCACTTCCCCCACTTCCGTTCAGTTCCAAGCGCACGGCAAAAAAACCACAGAAAAACTGTGTGGCTCTGAGGCGAAAGTAAGTTTTTGGCTTAATGCGCAACTATGCGGAAAATATTTGCGCTTAGTTTGAGTTCAGCATGGGAAAATGTAGTTACACACACACATGAACCTATGAACAGGTACGTGTGTGTTAGCTGAAGGACATGGCTAGAAGGACCCTAAGCCCAGAAAACAGGTTGGCACACAAATGAACTGGGCCAGAAGGCAAAGAAAAAAGGAGGTGACAACTTTAAGACGCCGGAATAAGTGCGGTGAACAGTCTTCAATCGGAGCGGAGATTATTCCGGGCGAAATTCAAATGAAGTCCTCCTACAATAGAGCCGCGTTGCTAGGTTTCATTTAATTTATTAAATGAATGTATTTTGAGCGTTCGGAATTTGCATTTTTATTTACATTTAAGCGTGCTGATAACATGTACTTAATTCACTTAAATTTAAGGGTACTTAATGTATTTTGGGGTTAGAGATACAGATGTTATAACGAGTGATTATAGATTGTTGAGGGTTAGACTTAGTTTTTATGATTTCCGATGGAGTATAAAAAAGTCTGCAAGCTCACAAAAACAATCTTATAATTATTATTATAATGTACCTTTTATTTAGATCTCAACAGATAATTTTGACAACCTTTTGAGCTTAAATAATTGCTGTAGAAATTGATAGATTGTAGAGATTGATTGTAGAGTTTCACCCTTAAGTTTCAGGGAAAGTTCCGTCCTCTGAATTCCGCCAATGACTTGGCTAACATCACAGAAGCTTCCTGGACGGAGCGACATATCCGTTCTGTCAACTGGCGACCAGATGCGGGATAAGTGGATTCTGATTCTGGTCCATGGATTTCATTTAAATGATTGACTCCGTCTGACTGGTTTCTTCCACCTGCCACTGATGGGGTTGAGGCTGATGAATAGCGATTCTGTCCGAATATATCTGGCATGGAACTGCTCTCTATGGAGGTTTCCAAACTAGAACCTGTGATAACGGGTTTGAGAGATGCAGTCTCCACCGTCAACTCTTTTACCCTGTCCGCATAACGTAGGGTATTCAGAGTGTGTTCGACTGAATGTAAACCCGGTGAAATCATGGCTATCATGCAGGTTTTTACCTTCTTTCCACCAATAAATGAGTCGCGCAGGACCTGAGTGAGCTTGGAGCCTCGGAAGGGCAAATGACACGACTGACGACCAAGAGCACGAATGCACTCCTTTAAGACCAACAGGGACTTGTTGATATCCGATCCTTCCTGGCGTGTTAAGCGATCTGCTGTACTATTATCCGCTCCTCTTTCATTTCCGGCCAGATCTATAAGCGAGAACTTTCCATGCAAACGGTCATTCGCCGAGGATTTCAGTACGATTTGGAACACGGCATGGGAACGAGAGGACTTGGAATTGGCTGAGGTTTGTCCCGAGGTGCGAACACTATTTCCCAACTCGAGTAGGGCCAAGACATCTCCAACGCTCTTCACCGCATTCTCTGTTAGGCCCACCACTTGCACCTGCTGGTTGCCATCTTCCAGGACACGTAGTTGCGGTTTACCAGGCATTAGGAGATCGTAGACCCGCGAGCCATAGATCTCAAAGAAACTGCAGAAGGTCTTCAACTTTAAGTTAACGTAATCTGGTGAGCTTAAATTGCTGAAAACATCTCTGGCGGCCATCGCATAGATGCCATCCATGCAGTTCTGCAGCTTGCCAGAAAACTGTCCACCCATCGTATGTGTCTTTCCACTTCCGGTTTGTCCATAGGCAAAACACGTGGCCATTCCCCCTTCAAAAATGTGTCGTATCAAGGGCTGGGCTGTGAATTCGTAGACCGAGGCATTAGAGCAATCCTCGTTAAAGACGTAATCGAAACGGAAGCTATGGTTATCCAAGAACTTGACCAGGTTCACATGCTTCCGAGGCTCGTGCACCACCAGAGTATCCTTTGATGCTATACTGACCACATCCACTTCCCGTTGTGCTAGCTCACAGCGTCTGAGTGGTCTCTTCCTCACACAAACCACAATTTGATGTTCCCTGTGGGGTTTATTAGTGTTACACGGCTTGACAGGTTGACTTGCCATCTGGAGACGTTGCAAGCGGATCATCCTGGCTATCTCCCAGTTGGGATTTCCTGGATCTTCGCTCTTCTCCTTCTCCCGTATTTGACGAGCCTGCGCTTGACACTCCCGCCTTTGTTCTCTTTGCCTACGCATCCTTTCGATTTGGTCAACCACATTGTCCTCTCGATTTGGAAGTGGCAGCTGGCGGGGAGTTGCAGTGGCCAATCGTGGTGTTAAACTCCCAGCAGCAATTCGTTCTGTCTTGGAACGCGGAGGTATGGAGGCCGTTTGATTGGACGATGTTCCACTGCATCGGGGCGTGTCAAAGATCTGGGGATTCATCAGGACGACCAGCTCCAGAGGCAGGTCCTTAGCCTGCATTCCGTGTCCCTCGGTCCATTCCACTGTCACTATATTACTGCTACCGCCCTGCAGTTTGACAACCGCTGCCAAGTGGATTCGGCCATCCGAACGACGGATAAACACCTTCTGATTGATCGTCAGTCGATCCATGGCCCAAAAGCAATCCAAATCCCACAATCCCGAAACCTGTCCTTCCGCTGCTTAACAGGACTTTCCTCCGATTTCTGCAACAAATGGGTTTCTAGAACTGTAAATTTTTACCGAATCAATGGGTATGTATGCCCAGTCGAAAGATAGTTTTGTGTTTGGGCTATAAGGGAGTAAAATGACAGGAAAGGCGATGAATAGTTAACAACCATTCAGATTTAATAATAATAATCGAATTTTAATTTTTGTAGAATTTATTCAAGAAGTTAGAAAATGTTTACCAAAGAATTTAAGAAATGACAATAAGTTAAGTTAAAAAGTTATATTTTACAGTTTTGAATGCTCTTTATTATCTGATATATCAGGTTTTCCTGTACCATTCCAGCGATGTCTACTCTGGGAAGGATTGTTTTAGCTATTTGTTCAATTTGAGGGCAAACAAGATGCAGCAACAATAACCGAATCAACAAACAACACCATTCCGAGAGAGCCTCTCTCGTCGGCAGTCGTCGTCCTCCTGCATGTCCTGCGTGTATTCTATTTGCCAAGTGGGTGGTCATGAAATGAAGCATTCTTTTACGAGGAAGAGAGAGGGTGTATATAAAGAGAAAGAGACGGGAACAAGTTGCAGATACGTTTGCATAAGCCGAGACGTGTGTAACGTACCAAATTGTTATTTATTTTTTGAAGTGCTTGCGCTACTGCCTCTGTGTTAAAGTACAGGTGTAACTTTGTGTGTGTTTTTGCTGGGTGTGGGGATGCATAGATAGATACATAGATACATTGCCCATAGATACGTGCAACTTGTTTCGGGACTTCAGTTTCGTCTTATTTGCGATTTGACGTCACAATTTGCCAAATTTACCGTGTAATTATCGGCAAAGGAGAACAACCGAAACCCAACCCTTATTTCAATCCCCTCAACGCCATTTGAAAAATGCAACAAGAAATGGGCAAAAAAGCAGGGCACTCCTGCTGCTCCCCCAGTTGATATGCAAATTTCGCATAGCTTTTTGTTCTATTTGCCCGACGGACCCCGGGCATATTTGTTTAACCGTAGTCAGACCGAGCCGGACAGTTTGATTTCGTTCCCGGGGTTTTCCATTTCCATTTCTGGCAACAACTTTTGCAGCTGCTCGCTGGCAGCACGTAAGCTGAATATTTGCTATATGCTTGCGTAAACTGCAAATCTGAAATGAACTAATAAACCAATTGAAATGGAAAACATTTGGCATTTTGTTTTACAAAAAACTGAAAATAATAATATGAAATAAATCGAAAAGCCATTGGACTGAATGTGCGTAATGTGGCCTGCATTAATTTTTCGGACTCCCGAGGGAAAAACGGAAAAATAATCAAATGCATGCGTAATGAAGAAAATCATTTCATGAATATAATCTTCTGATGTATTGTTTTCACTTTCCTATCTCTTCCTTTCCTACTAATCTGTTTTCCTCGACCAGTTTCAATCATTTTAAAAATATATTAATAAATAATAATACATATTGTTTGGCATTACAAAAAAAATTGATATCACAAAACGCAATCAAACACAATAATTGTCATTCGGCACGGATTAAATGCTGTTCGCTAATGTAATCAAATTGGACAATTTCGACATTTGAACTAATCCGTTTACATAATCCGGATGCAATCAAACCACCGCATCCCCACTCCCGCCTCCTGATTACCGCCTTTGACGCTTTCATTTAATTACGCCTGAAAAAATGCACACGAATCCGCAAAGCCCAAAACTAAATGAATTACATAAATCATTTATTAAATAACAATTTCAAAATTGACTTTTACGGACACTGAACAGATTATCAGTTTTGTCAGTTAACATAAACATGTGCGTGTAACATTGGTGGAGTTGCAACTTAGTTTTGATGGCACGATAATGGCATCAGAAAAGTAAATTCTACGTATTTGGAATATTTACAAATCTTGTTTAGAACGCCAGCATCTTGGTGTTGAGGAACTATAACAAATTAAGGGCTTTGTGGGCAAAGATCGTATTTGATATTTGGAATAAGTTTTTTGGCTTTCCAGAAGGAATATGGGCTGGGCACTAGTGATTTCCAGATAAATCTCATTCGTTATGCTTCATCTTTTTAGAAAGTTTGATGGACCTCATTAGGATATATACTTCTTCAATCTAAAAAACTATAATGTATTAAAAGTTAGCTTGTTAATACTTTGTTTTACCTGAGAAGTTGCAAACTGATTTTTGAAGCCCAGATCCTTAGGTTGCTTCAGCTTTTTTAGTTTCCAAAATGAAGTTTGGCAGTTTCTTAAAAGTTCTTGTTAGATTTGAATAAAATTCTTGTTTCTGTATACAAAAATCAAATTTGAATGACGGAATCTTAGTAAAACAACGAACTGAAAAATTACTTGCAACTGATTTTTGAAATGAAGACACTTAAGAACTCAAAAACTTCAAAGCTTTTCCCATATAGTTTGATGCCCTTTTCTTTTTACATAAATACAAAACAACCTTCCTTTTAATTTGCTGGTAAGCTGATAATTCTCGATTTTTCATAACCGGATTAACTTCTTTGGTGTATACCATAAAAACTGCTACTAAGAAGGCCAAAAGCAATGCTACAAAAATTAGTAGTTGTTTTTTGTTCACCGTTTGCTTTTTGTCCACTTGGACAGACTCTTTTTTGACGCCCATTTTTGTGGTAAATATATTTTAAAAGAGTAGTTTAGATAGCACTGATTTAGATCCGGTTGATTCCGTTGTAGGTACTTTCGTTGAATGACTGAATGAATCGGTTTGACATATAAAGAGCCGTGTGACGTATAGTTCAGTGAACTGTTGTGGAGATCTCTAGGAGTCCTCCAGTGGTTGCTCCCATTTCCTCAATTCCGATTGGAAAGTACTTCAGCCTCAATACAAAAGGCACAAAAAAATAGAATAAAAACCCACCGGACACTGAGAAACACACATAAATTTATAGTTGAGCCTTGGAAAACAATGAGATGGAAAAGCGGACGGCTTTCTTTTCCATTCATCCGGATCCGGATCCCCGACTGAAGTGATTTCCGTTGTTTTTCGTTGTGCTGGGAGCGTTGGTGCATTCAATGGAGTGCACTCTCTCTCTCCGCAAAGGAACACTTGAACTGCAACCAAGAAAAGACGCACAATACAAATGTTGAGGGGCTTTGTTCGAGCATCGAGCCGTTCCTCCTGCCGCATTTGCTGGCAAATACTCTATATATATTCGTATATAGTATGCACTTATATATAAATCCGAGACAAAGACGCGACTCATGTGCTCCATTCTGCCGGCTAAACAGTAAGAAAGCAAATTTCTGTGTTGTTTGGTTGCATTATTCTGGTTTTTATTTAAATTTTATTACACACATTTAATGAATTCCCTCACAGTTGGAAAGTGTGCAGTGGGTGGAAGCTGCAGGGAAAGTTATTATTATTACTAGATCAGCTAAGGATGCCATGGAGATCCTGCTTACATGTCCTCGCGTGCCTTAATTAGAGTTTCCACCAGGCGCTGCAGCGGATAATCTCCAGTGCAGATCCTATACACAGCTGTGAAGAGCGGAAATCTGCAGGGAAACAAGATTAGGCATATGTACGTTCCCATTTAGTACTTACTTATCCTCCAAGCCCTTCTTTTTAAGCATATGATGCACTAGCTCAGCTGTCACGGGACCCAGAGGCTCGTGTCCTGGTATGATAATGTGCTCCAGCTCACTCAGAGGCTTGCCTGTCTTCACAAAAGCTTCGGCCAGCTTGCGATTTCGATTGGCTGAGGGGAGGAAGTTTCAATATTATTTTGATGATATATAAATGTAAATAGAAATCCAAATCGTAACACTTTTCTAACTACCATAACAACTGGTAACCAAATCGGAAATCCCACACGACTCGAAAAAGGTTCCCATGCGGCAGCCAGGATAGAAGACATCCACAAATTGGAGCATCTCCAAGAATCCTCTTCTAATGATTCCTCCTTTGGTATTCTCATTAAGCTCCATTCCATCAGAGCAGCCAGCAGCAAAGGCAATTATGTTCTGTAAGAGGAAAAGTATAGATATTTAATATACATTATTGATACTAGAGATTACCCTCAAAGTGGAACAGATCTCCACGCAGTCTGCATCCTCAGTGACCACCACACGGAAAGTGGGTGACTTGAAGATATCATGGAGCACTCGAAAATACTTCTGATCCCGACAGCCAACTGTTCCCTCGGCGAAGTGGTCATGGGCCAGTTCGTAGGCCAAATTGCAGCCAACCAAGACGGAGCAGGGAATCTGTAGGTTAAGATAATAATAATAATTAATAAATTAAGAGGATTAAAGAGGTTTTAACAGCTTAGAATAAAACCTTAAGCTGCCTCATAATAATCTGTGAAATCAGAACGAATTGCCCATCATCTCCGCGCTCGAATCCCTTGATGAGGGAAACTGCATGAGCCGTGGGCTTGACTTTTCCGAGCAGAGTTTTACAGCAGCTACTGACGAAAGTCGGGGGAATGGCGAATATTATGATGTCAGCATCCCTCGCTGTGGTCACAATGTCATCCACAGCCACCTAAAAATATAAAAAAGAAATATTAAAAGAATTTAATATGTAAATTATCAATCAAAGAACACCCACAATATTTGGCGGCAGTTCGAAGTTTGGCATGTACTTTGAGTTTATGTGGGTGGTGTTGATGATCTCCGTGAGCTTGCGACCTTCGAAAATTTCTTCGTAAACATACATGGGAATCTTTTCCTCGAGTGTCTGCGAATTCATCACATTCCTGCCGACATTTCGGGCAATAGTCGTTGCCCAGTTCCCGGAGCCAATGATGCAGATAATTATCTTGTCCATCTTGGTTAGTTTAGCAATATGTTTGTAAGTTAAAGTTTTGTATTTTTGTGTGTTGTTTGACCTTCACTATGACACTGAAATCTAGTACTAGAAACTCCGTTTGGTGAACAAATTATTTATTCTAATAAATGATTTGACTTAACGATTATGGTTATGAACCTCATAAATAAGCTGCTAAATTAGGCTGATGGCATTTTATCTGATTTAATTTCAATTTTTATAAAACACATTTATGTGGATTAGTAATTGATAACATTAATTATATGTTTCAGCAACTGCACGTCAGTATCTTTGACATTCATATTTGCAATAAATAATAATATTTAACAACCATTTTCAGGACATAAATTACGATAGTTCACCCTGTAAAGGGAAAACATCAAAGTTCCGCTGTATCAATTCGGTTGTTAACCTTAAAAATTAATGCCCAAATAAATTAAAGAATGCGAGAGGCCAAATGTGTATATACAATCCATATTTACATGCATATAAGTTCCATGTACATATATTGATTGAGTGCTGGGCAAACAATTCATCAGTGAAGCAGGCGGGATAAAAATTACGTATACGTCACGTTCGCCAAACTGGCTGGGCAAATAATTAACTGCGGCAGCCGTTTTCCCCTTCAATTTCCAATAAGGCTGCATATGGATTCACATTCATGTTTGCAGACCAAAGTTTAAGCTGATGCTGCAAAAATTTCATAATTCTTATATTTATTTTTTAATTACGCTGGCGTTAAAAAATTCTGTGAAAAACTCAGTGGAGATGGAAAAAACGACGGCGGTTATTTAAATAAAATATCAAATTGCCAGCGTTAAAATGCAAAGGGCGAAAGCCAAAGTGAAAGTCCCATCGAAATCAATGTGCAAGAAAGTAAACACTTTGAAATTGTGCGGCGACGAACAGTTGGCAACCCCATCTCATCCAATTGCTAGGACGAATCCCGACCAGAATCCAACTGCATCCCAGCCGCCGCCCAGCGCCATCCACTCGACTATGAAATCAAAATGGATGATGGGCGAAATGAAAATGGAATTTTTAATGAGTTGCTGCCGAGGCAAAGGCCAAACGAGCTGCTGCCCCGAACAATGGAGCGGAGACAAAACGATGGAAATGAGACGGCAGAAGTGGAAGGGTCAGGATGCGGCTGTCGATGGTAGCGGTCCAAGGCCATGGCAGTCAAGTAGGAAGGCCCACAAAATCGCTGGCCAACACACTTTAAAGGGACGAGTGTGTTATATAAAAGAAAAAGGTTACCAAGTCGCTGGACAAAATGTCCTCTTGGCACATTTTGTTGGTCCTTGAAGGGATTTTTATCCCTATATTCATCAAGTATTGATATAACCTTTGATACAAGTCAACTATATATTATTTAAATAGCATTGCCAATAATTTAAATTCCACATTTTAATGACTTGTATGCCATTTATTTATAGTTGTAGCCAATTAAATTATTTCCACTTAAACAAGCACGTTAATGCCATAACTTTGTCAATGGCTGATTCATTAATTAAAGCCCTTTCACTCGGATTCCTTTAATTAAAGTTAGTAATCAGCTTAAGTCCCAGATAAAAGCCTTTCTCAAAAGCTGAATTAAATTCCAAATTAAACACAAACCGTATCTAAATCAAGACGGAGTCCTATTTAAACCATTCAGGTAACTTAATGAAACACTCCCGAAGTATCCTGAACATAATTCGTTTTTTATTCCGTCCTGGGACTGTATAAATTATTCGCACACATGTCCTCTAGCCCCCTCGTCCGACATTAATTTCCGTTTTTATTATTTTATTCTCTGAGCTTTCCGCTCTGCTTTCCTTTTTTTCTTCCACCATAAAGTAAACTTAACTTGGGCGGTTGACTGAAATCATCTCAGGGATACGCACATAAAGTTTTACCACGCTTTTTTATGCTTTGCACCTTAGATATCTTCCCTCCCGCTCTGTTCATGCCTCTTCGTGGCAGTTACTCATATGATTTTGTGACTACAAAGTTGAATCGTAAATAAAATTATTCCATGTTTTTGTTAGCTGCAACGTGATTTCGAGTACCTTTACCGGGAGTTTGGGGGAATCTGATGGGGACGAATGTGCCCAGGAGTAGTAAGTAAACTTTCGCTTTCTCTTCGCTCCAACTTTGAGCGAACTTTGCAATCTTGAGATAAACTAATTAGCCAGCTATGTGCTACAGTCTGGTGATGCTATGTTGTGTATTTCCAAGAAATCAATGTGTGCTTAAAAGGTAAATGGAATGGAATCAAAGGAAAGCTGAAAATTGAAATGTTTTTAAATGAATTTCAAGTTGAAAGAGTAAATAATGCCCTTACATGCTCATCCCAATGCTGTTGAGCCAAAAATTATAATCAAGGACGGAAATGAGGAAATGCGACAAATATAGTCGAAATTTCTCGGAAACAACTGATATCTAAAATTAAGAGAGTTTGAAAAATGTTATACGGTTACCAAGAGTAAAAACTCAGTACTTTGCTTTCATTTTAGACATTTTCGTTGCCATTAGATAGCACTCTGTCCGACGAAAAGTTGTTTTTAGCCACGTTGCCGCTTTAAAAGGCATTAAATTACGCGCAAAGAAAAGTTTCTGGCCCCAAAGTTGAGCTGGATTCGAGTAGAAATCAGATACAGATACAAATACAGATACAGCTACAGCTCTCTCTCCCTCAGATGCGGATACAAAGCAAAAGCTCTGGAGTGGAAATGACGAGCCGCAGTCTTAGATTGCGTGTGAAATGCAAGCAAAGTTGGCCTGCTAGCGGGCGAAGAGAAGGGGTGGAAAACTGCCAACTATGCAAACTGCCCGGCACCGAATGAAATCGAGATAAACTACTCACAATATTTACTTTTAATTGGAGAAGTTCAAAGAATAAACAAATATCAAGGGACCGTGGGATAGAGCGATGCGGCATTAAAAGTTTTTTGTTCTTCGTCCTTTTGCCACCTTTTTACCCACTCCACCACATCGATGGGTAAAATGAAACACATTGCTATGTACACGGGGAGAAAAGTGTATAGTCTTATATACTTTTGAATTAACTTAATTGGAAAATGCTAAGACTCTTACTCAGATCTTAGGAAATGAGCCTTAATACCTTATCATATATTGTTTACTATCAAAAATCTTTTTTCTTTCAGGTTTAAATTAAAGAGAGGCATTATTAATTATTAACAGTCTATCGTTATGCTTCTATTTTCCTGTGCAGCCTTGGCTTTAATCCCGCGATTCAAGTTCATTAAGCTCCTTAAATGCGGCCCAAACTGGAATTAATATTCCAAACAACATTTGCCGCATTCTGTTGCCATTCCGCTCGCTCTCATTTGACAGCCAGCCAGAAAGTTGAGCCAGAAGTTCAAAGCAGTCGGGTCAGGGGCCGTGGCAGGGTCAAGGGGGCGCGCCAGAGACGTCTGCAGTTGGCTTTTAATGTTCTGTATTTGTTTTTCTTCGTTTTTGGTCATTTTTTTCTACGTTTGCCTAAATGGTAATTAAAATATGCCCAGATGGTGTCTGGATGTCCATCAGCGATGAGACGAGGGACCAGTGAGTGGGCAGCTCCCAGTCTCGAGGTCAACTGCAATCAGAGAGTTCTTTAGCCGCCTCTCTTTCGTCAAGCAAACACGGTCAAAGTGCAAAAAGGTTGTTCGCAGATGCTACTTTTTAACTCTGCTTTGCTGTTAGATTTTAATTGCATTCGGATCTACTCATCCAATGAAATTAAGTCAGAAATTTACTTAAATCTCTGCATTAAGAATGGACTTTGAACACATTTTCTAAAAATATTTATAAAATTGTAAAATATTTAATATTCTGTTACAAAAAGCTGTCAACGAAAGGTTTTTGGAATATGTTTTCTGGGAAAGTTATGTATTTAAAGTTAGACATACTTTCTTTACACAGTCCTATCAACATATTTGTTAGAATGTCTTGTTTTCTTAAATTTTCTTCATTTATTATCCCCAGGAATTATTATCCCGCTACACTTTCATCTTTTTCCTGCAACTCTGAAGCCTTTCTTTTACATTTTGTAGTAACCATTTAGCGAACTTTACCGCCATCTTTCATTCATAATTTGCTAGACCCCTTTTTGCCGCGGATTTTCCACACTCACACTCACACAAGCACAGAGGAGACGGAAAATGGCGACAGGAGGGAAAAGCATCAGCCGCAGCTGGGCGACAAGGGAAACTGTGTCAACGCAGCCATTTGGCAGCCCGAAAACTCCCCACTTTTCCTTTGCCACTTTTTTCCTGTGTCTCCATTTTTCCGCCACGCTGATGGCGACATAAATAGCACCGCTTGGTTGATGGCTTAGTCCCTCTTCTACCACCCCTCGGGAAAACTTCCCATTTTCCTTCAGCGCGAATGTTGGCCATATCCCCCAGGTAACTGGTAACAGGTAACAGCCGCCAGTCGCTCATAAATGTAAACTTTTTCGGCTAGTTACATGTAATTATGCCATTTTACTGGCAGCAAAGATGAGAGAGGATTCCTTTTTCCATGAAATTCATCCTCCAGGGAGGGAGACTGTTGATGTCTTTTCACTTGATTGCCAATTTAATCGGCTAGCAATTTTCCGCCTTGGCGCCATGATTAGTGGGCGTGGCCGTGTCTAATTTGTGTATCAGTGCAAAAAGTGAAGATCCCTCAAAGCGGATTCCTCAGCGGCGAGTTCGGAGTGAAACGAGGAAAGATATTCAGACTGCCGGGTTTTATATTTATTTATTCCCACGAATACTTCACCCCTCTTGCCTGACATTGGCATGTGTGTATTTTCCGGACTCACTGGCACACATAATTCAAATACGTGCCGCGCATATGCTCTGAAAATGGCTTGCACACACACTGACTGCAGTTAATCTTCGCTTAAGCCCTCTGCGCCTGTCAATATTTTTCGTGAGACCATGGCTGACGCATTTTTTGGCAGAGCATAATATTTGATCCGCTCTTTTGTGAAAAACTGGTTTGCGAAAAACCTGAAAAACTCTTTGGTTAAAAACCGGAAAGGGCTTTTGGCAACTCTGTTTTTGGTGGA